CTTAATTTACTATAGGGGCAAAATTAGAACTTAAGATAGTGAGTAATACACGACAGCCTTGTATCTGAAGTTGAGGTAACGACCACATATCATTAGCGGTTTTGTCAAGAGATCTTAAGACCCTTCTGAAGAGATCAGATTTTAAGGCGTTGAAAGTGTCACAAAAAGGCTCTAAAATGTGTGGCTTGCGAATTCTTTCAAGGCACTGCAGATCGAAAATAAGAAAGCGACAATTAAACAGAATATATACAGATTATGAAGACGCCATTATTAGCTAGTAATCCAAGTTGAAGTGTAAGTCAAATACCTTATCTACTACTTGAAGATCATGTATGCAAAGACTATTGTTGGGATCTACATTCAAGTGCTCTCCATAGCAATTTTCTTCAGTTGACTGCAAAAATATAAACTTAATTAATTCCTAGGCATATTGCAAATTTGTATTAGTCGAAAACTAAAGTGTAGTTTTTTTTTTGCCTTGTAGATTGCATCTGATAAGAGTCCCGTACGATGAGCAAATGGGATTCTTGAATTATAGTCACCACTTGTGTCTGTTAGAGGATTACCAAGAAGGTACCCCTATAAGTTTGAAAACATAATAAAAGAAACATTAGTTAAATCTTTTCCAAAATCAAGCTCATGCACAAACATTGCTCATTTTAGAATTGTAAATAAAAATTAAAACAATAACTTCAATTGATCAATTTGTACTTTGATGTTAATATGTGGCCCTTCTCCAATTTCATTACCTACAAAAGAGGGAAACAAGAAAGACTTTATTTAGTCAAAAGAAGATTAGCAGACTAAACAAGATGATTGTAAATTTGTAAGATTTAAATATACCGTTATATATTTCCTGAACAATCATTGGAAGCACTATACCATTGTAGGAATCAGAACCAAGATATAGTGGATTGTTGAGAAATGTAGGATGATCCACAAGCCACTGTTAATTGGAATATACATAGCAATTAAGCAAGCTTTAATGATCTTAGTTTGTATCTAAAACAGATAGATTGCAATCTGTTTTCAAGGACACGAATTAAACATGTGAATATGCCTTTAAATATGTAAAAATAAACCTTTAATTTCATCATGAGTATATATAACCACCTTACCTTTCTAAGAAATTGGTAAGTCTGTAATGTTGATAATGTATCGTTTGTTATATAAGCTTCACGAGTTTTTGCATAGGAGAATCCAGACCCAGCAGGTTGATCAAGAAATATTATGCTGGCTGCCTAAAATGTAACACTTATTTCATTAAATATATTATCCAGAAACATGGACTCATTAGCTTCTTAACATTAAACAGATTGGAAACTTTTTAAATGAAAATCAATAAGTAAAATGACACCTTTGTCCAACTGTGAGGGTTTATCTCGAGCATTGGCTTCTCCAAAGTGGAATTTGCATAGTTTATAGTGAATGGGCCTGTATAGAATATCAGCAACAGGTTTAGTAAAGTCTTTATAAATTTATGATGGAAATAGACATGTATTGTCTTAATCACTTTTGATTTTGACATATTAGGTTATCCAAAGGTTACAATGATTCACCAAATTCCCTTAACTTTTAGATAAAATCTTGGAAACTATTTTATACATATGGACATGCATATGAAGGATGGTGATTATCAATTTATACGGTTTTCTTTTCTCTCTTTATCTCCCATTACACATAAGAAACAAAAGAGACAATTAAGGGTGCGTTTGGTTGTGGAAAACTGTTTCATTTTCTAAGAAAATGTTTTCAGAAAGTAGAGTTAAGTTTTCATTTTCAGTTTTCAATGAAAATTTTAGAAAACGCGTTTGGTTGGAACCAGTGGAGTTTTCATTTTTCATCTAAGAAATCTCGAAAACTTTGGAAAACTATGAACATCACTTTTCTAATTTACATACAATTTGGAAAACTGGAAATTTTCATTTTTCTTAGAAAACTGAACGAACAAAACACGTTTTCTAAATTACCGTTTTTCTTGGAAAATTTTCCTAGAAAACAAGAAAATTTTCCACAACCAAATGCACCCTAAGATTTTCATCTCCATCACTTTCAAGGCATACCAAGAAAACTACTTTGCCTATTCCACCAAAAGATAAATCGTTGCATCGTCATCTACAAATGCAAGACGTGTATTTGCACTAAATGATGGTAAATGACTATTCTCCCCTTTGTCTTAACAGTACTGTTGAATTCCAAAACTAAATAAAGTTGATTTACTAACAGAAACAGTAAATCTTAGAAATACCTATTTCATACAAAAGGCCAGAAAGAGCAGAGCAACCAGGCCCTCCTGTGAGCCAAAGCATGAGAGGGTCGTTTTTTGGGTCCCCTTCAGACTCAATGAAGTAGTAAAATAACTGCACATCATCGGATTCTCCTACCCCGATGTAACTTAAACCACATTTTCTCTTAAAGAGTTAGTATATCTACCATATTAAACAAAGAATGATAGTAACAACATATAAAAAGGTTAAATGCAATAATCAACAACACACTTTCATTTATTCATTCATTATAGCATTCAAGTGTCATCTGTCCTATAAAAACATTGTTCTCTGTAAAACTCAATCCAATTATTGAAATGCCTTGCGAATACAAAACAGTTTTTACTAGAATTCCAAAGTACAATGTCCCAGTAAGAAAAAAAAATTGAAAGTACAATGACCTAATTGAGTCTATTTTTACAATATAATGTGTTAATAAAAAATAAAAATAAAATGTTACAAAAAACAGATAAGTAAAAGTACATTGTTTTTCTTGCATTTAACCATATATAAAACAACATAAAATTAAATTTTATTACAAAGAACGTGGCCTTACCCAGTTTCGAGTGTGAATGGAAGGTCACCTAGCAAACCTGGCAGTGACTTAACCAGGAATCGTGACTCGGTAACCTCCAATGAAACTACCAGAAGAAGAAACACACTAAACAACCTGAACTTACTAAAGAGGCTCCAAGGTTGAAGATGAGATAGTGGCCATGGTTTCATGATGCTTCTAAGAAAAAAAAAAACATATATAGACAAGTTAACTTCCAGTAAACAAGATTTAGAGCTCAAGATTTCTTTCTATCACTTGCGCAGTGGTAATAATCTCCATAGTCAAATCACCATTACTTGCACAATGAAGCAATTGGGTGATAGATCGAAACATGAGTCGCGTTTATGCAAAATGACACTGTTCATCGGAAGTCGTAACAAAAGGAATCGAAACGATGGAAGCGTACATGACTTAAGGGTGTAATTATATCTTAGGAAGACGAAGCACATTCAGGTTCTTTGTGATGGTGATTGTCTGTTCTTGCTTGTGTTTACTTGTGTTGACTGTTGACTGAATTTGTGGACAAAAGAGGCCTATCATATATTCAACATCAAATAAACGTACGGAGAATTTAATGAATACATGTTGTTATAGATATTTTTGAAAATAATTTAATATTAGGGTAAATTACATGGATGGGTCCATATAGTTTAGAGTAATTTGTATGTTTGGTCCCTAACAACTTTTTTAGGATAAATTACACCGATAGTCCCTTGTGCACACGCCAGAAAGCGTGTTTAGTCCTTATTTTCAAAAATTCACTCGGACCGTCCCTTTTGTGGTTAAAAGTTATACGTTTCATCCCTCATCAATTTAAATCTACATGTTTCATCCCTTACAAGACTTGAAAAGACTATATTGCCCTTGTTTATTTTCTTTTTGATTGTTGAATTTTTTTTAATTATATTATATAAAAAATAATGTGGGCCCTCACCTTACACACCCTACCCCCGTTTAGCTAAATACCCTAAATCTCCCCTCTGTTTCTATATGTTTGTCTAAAAATCTCACCTCCCCGGTAAAGCCAAAATCTGGCCACCGTAGGTAATCATCATCCTCTTCAGACCACTGGGGTCCTCCCCTTTACACCAACAATTTCATCCCCTGCAAGTAATCATCGCCATCTCCTCCAATCCACCATCGTCGCCTCCAAGCCACTGCCGCCTCCTCACATGTCGTTGCCACTATGGAGATCGATTATGGAGCTCAACGGACCACAACCATCCTCTCTGTCTCTCATCCTTCTCTAATCTGAATACTCTATCTTCAAGCCTTCACCTTCATCGTCTCAGATCACCACCACCTAGGGTTTCGTTTTAGATCGCGATAGCCACCTATGGTTTTGTCTCATATCGCTCAACCTTCTCGAGCATCAAACATGATAAAATATGTGGATCTTCAGCGACTTCTTTCCTACAAGCTCCTATTCTTGTACCTTTCATTCATGTTTGTGAAGAAGAGATCAGTTGTTGGTGATTTACAGTGGTTATGGCGAGATATGGTGGTGATGGCATTGACCGATAATGTTGTTAGTATCGCCGGTGGTGTTGTTAATCTACCTAATTTCCATCTTAATTTTCATAATCATTTAATTAATGTCCAACACATGTAAATTGGTCATATAACCGGTTTTTTATGTATGTATATCCTTCGATCCACATAAATTCGTGTAATTTACTCTTTGCGGGAGAAAGGAGGAGAACGGATGGTTTCCGATGGTTCTGGTGGTGCTGTTTCCCGAAAAGGTAAAAGGAAAAGGGAAAGAGAAGGGGAGGGGTGGGGTGGAGACATTTGATTTTTTTTTTTTTTTTTTTATAATCTAAAACTAATAAAGTAATAAAAGAAAATGAGAAAAGAATTTATTAAGGGTAAAATAGTCATTTTATGCCAACAGGAACTAAGCGTGCAAGATAAAACAAATACAGGGATGGTCTGAGTAATTTTTGAAAATAGATACTAAACACGTTTTTTGACATATGCACGAGGGACTACCGATGTAATTTACCCCATTTTTGAACTCGGACCGTCCCTAATTTATGTTTTTGTTGCACGCTTGCCCCATGTCCGCTATAAAAAGACTGTTTTACCCTTAATATGTTATTTATTTTTTCATTTATTTATTCTTTTACTTTTTATATTAAAAAATGAAAAAAAAAAATACCTTATAACCCTAAGAAATGCCTCCAACCCCTTCTTGGCTCCTTCTTCACATGTCGTCTTCCATCATCCCCATTCACCGGATGCATCATCGGTCAGCTGCATCTCCGACCACTCCAACAACGTCATCTTCTTCACCTTCTTGGCTTTTTTTTCACCTGTCGTCTTCTTGGCTGGTAAGAAAACCCTCCATATGCTTCTCCTTTTCACTCATGGGACTAACATGTCTCTCTGCTCTGTATCTCTCTATTTCACTTGAAAGAAGACGAAGCTTGAAAGTCTAATTGCCTCGCTTATGTTTTCGCCACCAACATCTATTGTCAGCGCCACTAGAGAAGGCGGAGGTGAAGCATGCACTTGAATCTGAAGAGACAATACAAACTTAAGCATTGGCCTCTTTATCTGTCTCGGGATGGGAAACGTGTTATAAATCCAGAAGCCACAAATACAATAGATTTCATGTTTGATTTCAGTTCCGGAGCCCAAACCGACCCTACAATGCTGGTTAGGTTTGATTTCAGGTTCAATTTTTAGTTTAAGGTTTGATTGAGTTCTAGGTTTGAATTAAGTTTCACATTAATTTTTCAGTTGGATTTTAGTTTCAGCTTTCAATTCATATTTGATTTTGAGATATGGGTTTGATTTCAGTTTCAGTTTCGCCTTTAGTTTTAATTTTAGGTTTGCATCCTGGATCACTTTAAGGTTCAAGTTCCATTGATTTTGGTGATTACCAGAACACGCTTCATTTTAGCCGGAGAAGAGAGTCGTGGGGGGGAGGTAGAGGTGGAGCCAGAGAAGACGCCATCAATATGTGAGATTTCCCGGGAGAGGAGTGAGTATTTCCAACGACTGAACACAAGGGGGGAGGAGGGTTGGTGGTGAAGTTCTTTAATCATAACAATATACATTTAATTAATACTTTTTTCATAATTAATTAATATTTTTAATTAAATGACAATTTAAAATTGATAAAAGAAATCAATAAGGGTAAAATAGTCTTCTTAAAGCAGAAAGGGACCAAGCGTGCAACAAAAATATAAATTAAGGATGGTCCGAGTTTAAAAAAAAATTGTTAGGGGCAAAATATGCAGATTACCCTAAACCATAGGGATCATCTGTGTAATTTACCCATAATATTAGTTTGATTTGTAGCAATAAGACAAAATTTAGGATTTGCAAAGTCTCTTATTTTGAGGATTTTTATAGAAAAACATCAAGCCAATGGGCTCTTATGGTTTGCAAAATTACATGAAATATCTTATTGTCATTAAGTATAACTTTTCAACAATTATTTATTTTACCTTTGTACCTAATTTCCAATATACTACAAACCTCAAAGATTATTTGTGTAATTTTATAAATTTGAAATATATATATATATATATATATATATATATATATATATATATATATATATATATATATATACTTTTTCTAATACTTTTACTTATTTTGATTCAAATAAATGAAAAGAAAAAAAAACCTTCAATTTTAAAATATTATAACAACTTTTTTTTGTAGAGTCTGACTCTTATTATTATTATTATTATTCTTTGTTTCAGTCTATTATCAAATTGAAAATTATTATCTTGAATTTAAACTATTGGTTTCTAATATAGAAATATCATTTAATTTGTAAGTTACAATTTAAAAATATAAGCTAGTTTTCCTATTTTAATAATTATAAATCGCGAATATCACACATTGAAATATTAATTCCAATGTACAAACTGTTTGATTTTTTTAATTTTAATTTGTTGTAACATATATAAAAAGTATAAAGAAAAAAAATGAACCAAAATTACAAATATAAATATAAAATTTTTATTTACTTGAATCAAAATAAAAATAAAAATTACAAAAACCATATATGACCAAAATAAAATAAAAAATAAAAAACCAAAAAACTGAAACACCAAAAATATAATATACTTTAATATATTCATAAATTTACAGTTTTTGGAAAATGTCAAAATAAAAAAATTCAAATTGATGAAAACAAAATGAAACAAAAAAAAAAAAAAAAAAAAAAAAAAAAAAAAAAAAAAGGAGAAAATTAAAAAATAATATGAAAAAAATTAAAAAAATAATACAAACAAATTAAGAAGAAATACACAAAAACCAAAAAAAATATAAAATGTATTAATATATTAGAGTATATTGCAATTTTGGTGTTTAATTTTTTGTTTTATTTTTTTATTTTTCATTACTTGAATCAAAATAAATAAAAACAATAGAAGAATAATAAATAACTAAAATTAAAAAAAAAAAAAAAAAAAAAAAAAAAAGGTGAAATAATGAAAATGATAAATACAAACATAAAGTTGTTAACGATATTAACTATGAAGCATCCAAGTAAAAATACATGAGTAAACCATAATGACATAAAATTTTAAAGATAAATATTAACGCTTCAATTCACAAATAAAAAAAATTAAAGAAAAAACAGTTTCGACATGGTTTCTTGAATTTACGTTTATGTACTTGAATAAAAATAGATAAAAACATTAAAAAAAACATCATTAATAACTAAAAATATAAAAAAATGTCAAGAGGATAAATAAAAGTTACGAAAGCATTGAAATTATATATATATATATATATATATATATATATATATATATATATATATATATATATATATATATATATATATAATTACTAAATTCTCCATGTGAGGGAGATGTACTGTAGCTAAAAGTACATCTACTAAAGCATAATGTACAAGCGATTTTGTATTGCATATCGTTTGTAGTGCATATCGTACGAATGGTACCAAGCTCATTTTCCTTGGTTTCACACTTCAATTGTTAATTGTTTTGAGCTTAAGTTGCAGAAATAATCTTTACACTTTTACTTTTTATTCATAAACCATCCATCCAATTGACACTTGCATCTTTTTTCTGTATTATTTTTTCACTTTATGCCATTACAATTCAATTAACTTGCCATCTGCAACATCTTTTTTTTTTTTTTTTTTTTTTTTTTTTTTTTTTTTTTTTTTTTGGACTTTTACCATTATAATCAATATGTTATTACACCTTGATACCCTTTTTTTTTATTTTTTCTGTTGAATTGTTTCTTTTGCCATCTGTGACACTTTAACTTCTTTTTTTTTCTTCATTTTCTATCCTGAAAAATTACATTTTTATAAATACACGTTGCAAGATCCGTTTGTATAATAGTACCAACCAGGGGCGGATCCAAGGGGATCCCGGGGTAGGTTGGGATACCCTTCAATTTTTTTTGGTAGTGTAATTTTTGTTTAAGTATCCCTCAAAAAAAAAAATTCGGTATAGTGTATATATATGCATCCCTCCACTTAAAAACACAAACAAAGAGTTGGTCTGCTGGTTAAGGTGTTGGATTATTGAAGTAAGGTTTCAAGATCAATTTTCGGTTCTTACATATTATTTGTTTACTTTTGTTTTATTTTCCCGGCTATTCTATCACACATCGCTAAACACATGTAAACTCAGCCATTTTTTTCTATTATATAAACCTGTTATCCTAATGTTTTATTTAATATCTACTTTGAGTCCCACATCGATTCAAGTATCAAAATATACTTCAACTTCATGTTTATATAACAAGACTTGAGGTTAGCTAAGGATTCGATTAATATTTGGGTTTAAAACCGAAATCGAACCGGGGAAACCCAAGCACCCCGGGAAAAAAATTGGGTTACCCTTAAAAAAACTAGGATACCCATTTACTTTAATCCTAACTCCGCCATTGGTACCAACCTCTATATTTTTCTACGACCCGTCGCAACACGCGGTGGGCAAATTAAAAGTATTTATACAACATATGTCAGTACTCAGTAGCGTGGTTTACTATCTTAAGCCACTAAGATAAGTTTTTATTCCTTGAACATTTTTTTTTACAATTTCACTATCGTACACTGATATAAGTATGACATTGTAATAAACTATGATATGTTATACTCATTTAGTTAAATCTCATTCCTAATACATAATAAAAACACATAAGAACCTGCGGCAAAGCACGAGCTCAAATACTAGTTATATTACATCATTCACTAGTTATATTACATCATTCACACCCACGCCACTTTTCTTTTTTCCACTTCTGCTTACTACTCCACAACATTGCTTCTCTCTCGACTCTCGTCACGTCGACTCCCTCCCACTCCCTGCTCGCGCCCTGTGTAGCCACCGGCCGGAGACCTTTGATAGCCATAGCTACTCCTTCACATTCCACCCAGGTTCATTTTTCTTCCTTTTATGTTCTGCTTTCTTTCTTCCGTTTTTTCTTGCTTTCTTTAGAAATCGCCAATCTTCATATCAATTGATAGTTTGATACCGATTTCAAGGTTATCAATTGATGTCGGTGTTATTATCAATTGATTTTGGTCGATTTCTTCCTTTTTTTTCTGCCACAGTTACTTGTTATATTTATACTTTATATATATACAAAATTTCAAATTTACAAAGTTACACAAATGGTCCTTGAGGTTTATATTATATTATAAATTTGTTACTAGTGGCGTGACGTTTTCCATAAAAGTTCTTAAAGTGAGATATTTACAAACCACATGGACCAATTATGAAATTTTATCTAGCAGTAATGTTCTCAAATAATAAAACAATTTGGTCTAAACTAATTTAATTTTAAGAAAACCCATGTTTGGTAAAATACCATTAATTGTGATGTATGTGTATCGGTTAGATATCATTAAAGAAATTTTTTAATGTAAAATAGAATTAAAAAGTAGAAACTTTTAACTTCTAGTAAGGAATTAAGGGAAATCCGTGAAAAGTTGGCAACTTGGACTGTTAGGTGATGTAGCATGGCTGATGTGGCATGTCCTTTCTTTAAAATTTAAAAAATCAAATTGGGGGGGGGGGGGGTGGAATATATTAGAGGGAATCCAACCCTTATTGTCATGTTTAGATTTATCCCTTTTGTCCCTAAATCTTCATGGTGTGAGAAATGGGAAGGATCGATCTTATAAAGTTTGCAACTTTATGAATCCATGTGATCATTCTAGTGTCATATGTTCCAGATCTGAGGATCTATGTAGTTTTTGGTTTTATGCTCGAGTTTAAATCCTTATTGTCATGTTTTTGACCTAAAATGGAAGGGACATGCATTGGACATACATGTCCATAAAGCTATGATTGTTAGGGCTTATTAGCAGTAAGAAATCATTATGGAAACTATGCGTGAGCAACTTTGGAAGTTGGATGCTTAATGAGTGCCTTTGTGCTTTTATTTATCCTTAAGGAATTAGGGTGTGGGATCTTGATTTTTTGAGGAGTCTTAATAGGCAAAGTTGGAAACTTTATCCATCAAGACCATGGGAAGGACTAAGTATAGGCTTTGGAGCTTTTGAACTTGTATGAAAATGGCTTAATTGATTAAGTTGTCCAGACTAGTCCCCACAGTGTGGCCTTAGGTTGCTACAACATGGCGATTGGATGGGGACCCGCCTGCCTTGTCGTTTAGCAACCATGACGTGGAAAGGATGGCCATGGCATGGCGACCAGATGGAGGTTGACTTTTGACTATTGACCGTTGACTTTGACTAAGTTTGACTTTAGGTCGTTTGGGGTATCTTGAGTACTAGACCGAGGCTTGGTCCCTGTGTTGTACATCGTAGAGCCGGTACTTGGAGCAACATTCAATTCAATTATCTTTCGGACATTGAGGTGAGTTTTCCTTACTGTACCCGTGGGTCGAAGGCACCAATGTCGGCCCACTAGGTTGTGTTGTGTGTCCTGGTTTATAAGATATTGTTATACTATAGTAACTTATTATATTGGTAGAACCGTATGGCTACCTGTACTTG